GAGCGGAGCAGAGGGGGGGGGGGGCTGATGACTTGATCAGGTTTTGCGAGGCCGGGCAGGTACTCAGGCTGGGGCGCGGGGGGATGATGAACGAGGGGCATTAATCTCTGTGACAGAGAGGGAGAGGAGTTAGCAGCGGTGATAGCGGCGCTAACGGCTTTAATTAGCATTTAATCAGACGCCTCGGGGCCGATCGAGGGGGGGGGGGGGAGGAGATCAAACTCCAGCGGCCCAGCGTGAGGAGAGGAAGGGAAGACGGTCCCCGCGGTAGCCCGGCTGATGCTGCAGGCTGGGTTGGAAAACGCATGCCTGTGATCCTTCTTTTGTACTAGAATGACAGCAGGCTGGATGCAGCACAAAGGGCCCCTAAAGAGGAACATCGTGGAGCATTCTCAGAGGCCGCGGATGCTCAGGCTGTGGGCTTTTCCTCCGTACATTTCTACTGCACAAGTACCGAAGACATGCTTCGATTCTGGGGCTTGAAGCGTATTCATGGGCCCCCGATCCACAGCATCCAATCGGTAGTTTGGTTGCATGTACTGTGGTACAAACAGGGAGGGAACGCAAAAGGAGAGCGGAAGCTACATTTGGGCTAGCAGTGTTTTGGAGTTACAGCAGCTAAAGGGTCACGGGTACTGAAGAATTTAGAGCCGTCCACAACATTAAAAGGGTTTTGCGTGACTCACAGACAGAGAGAAGTGTAATATTTGTAGCAAATGTCGACACACAAACCGCTAGACGCAGATGTGTTTCCAGCAAAGAAAAGAACAAAGAACACACATTCTTTGTCAATTCCAAGATGAAGAGAAAAGACATTTGAGGGTTGATTAGAATAGAAAACTGCTTTTGGAGATGCAACCTGCTGCTGGATAACAAGTAAAAAAAAAAGAAAAAGGCAGCGCTTCCAACCGTTCACACGGGGATGGACTTCTTAGGTCACAAAAATAAAACTCAATTTTTCATTTGAAATGCGAGGGCCATAACACAGTGTTAAAGGCACAAGACACATCCAGCAGAGAACAAAGGAGGATAATCAGTATGGATGTACAAGGGAGCTAATGAGGGGATGACAACCAGATGAGGGGGGGGGGGGACCTAATAGGAAGAAGACTAGCTGGGTCTGAAACGACAGCACAGTTAATACAAGGACGAACAAAATACTCGCGGGACCAATGCTCTGTAAATCTGTAAAAAAGTGAATCTGGCCACGACATATCTACAGATTATGACTTTTGACATAAACATATCACGGAACGGTCACAGCATTTTGCTGCCGCGACAATCCACGTCTTGAGCGGGATCTCTTGAATGTCACACTCTCAACACAAAAAAAACGGGCCTCGCGTCGGTGAAGGAATAACAGCTCCACGGAAACGCCGAGGCCTCGAAGCTGTCGGCGTGCGCGTGCGAAAGGGACAGGCGGCGAGACGGCGAGCAAACACTGAAGATGGGAGTTTTGACGGGGCCGGTGAGTAAGGGGGCTCTTGGCATGAAAGGGGCCGGTGTGTGATCATGATGTCATTAGGAGTATGCAGTGAGACAGGACCGGAGGAGGCTGCTGCACCGCGCTGCACCCCGAGGGACGTCATTACCAACTGGAACTGAGCAGGGACCTGAGCACAGGTCAGCGCACAGGAAGTGGTCTCCCGCGCACGCACACACACACACGTGCAGGCTTAGCTGCATGGATACTTACAAACACACACACACACACACACACTGTTTCACAGAGGCAGGCAGGCATCCATCACATAACAAATGGACAGTTCTGTCCGTCCTCTGACAGCAGACGGCTGCTTTTGTTGCTAAACCTGACAAATTCCTCCATATCTAAGAGGACACCTCTATGGACAAATGTGCCTCATTAAGGAGCGCACGCAGATGGACAGAGCTCGCGCACACACACACACACACACACACAAACACCCCCCGACTCGGAGCTCGTGCTGTGCAAAGTTGCAGTGTGTATTCCGGTGTAGCCGTATGCGCTTCATTACTGTTCACACACAGACAGTTGCGGTGTTTTTGTGTCAATGTTTAATGAGGGGCTGGGAGTCTGGGGACCTTACTGCTGTCAGGAGCTCCTGTAGTCTGGAGCTACCACCTGTTCCCATTCACTCCCTTAAGGCCTGAACACACACACACACACACACACACACGACAGGCATGCAAACAAGCAGGAGCACGTGCAAAAACATGTCTGTGCAAACCCACACACACACACACACACACACACACACACACACACACACACCTGACAAACAGCGTGCAGTGATTTAGTCATCCTGTGGCCCCACTGTCAGTGTTGGGCGCATGTAAACAGGTTATTGTGGTTGGCTGAGCCTGGCTGGCTGACAGAAGCTACAGAGACCATGGGAATATCAATTGATTCATTTCATATTCCTCGTCAGCTCGCCCCGAGATGTCAGCATGAAAGCGGCTGCCAGCGAGAGTGATCCCTCTCTGGATTTTTTTTTTCGACACCGCTGTTTGATGGAGATGTGAACGGCGCCGACGCGCGCTGACCAGGTCTCGCTTTCAAGCTGGCGGGTCCGCGCCCCGCAACAATCCACGGCGCAATTTCATGAGACTAAAGTGCAGCTCTGTAAGAGACACAAAAAGGGAGAGAGAAAAAAAAAGTCCTCGGCCAAGATGTAAAACAAAAAGCAGAGGGAGGTGAATATACATTTCAAAAAAACTAACTTTTATTAAAACAAAAAAAACAAATCAAATTATTGACTCATTAACAAGATTATAAAACAGTGATTTAGTTACATAAATAAATTGATATCGGTGTATCAAATCTTAATTTCATAAGCATGTATACATGGGTCATTGTAATAAATAAAATGGGAGAGCAAAAGATTCCTACACAAACGAACATAAACAGAAAAAAAAGAAATAAAAACAGCAAGAAAGACTCAGAGGAAATTGTTTCTGAAGAGAACAACAGACACTGGACAACGTATTTTTTTCACCAAACACACGTGAGGAATTGCTTTGTTAAAGCATGAGTTACACAGCCATTCACTTACTAATTAAGGACACTAAAGCTGGGACCAAGGTGGGTCGTCTCTCACCTCTTAGAACGCGTTTGGTTGTTAGATAGATCTCCTGTTTGGTTACTTTAAAGCGTTAAGACAAGGCAAGAGAAAAGGCTGCTTTTATCTTTAATGAACACAAGATAGAAAAGAGATGCACTCACAAAAACAAAGAAAAAGAAAGAATAATCAGACGTATAAAGAAGGTAAAAAAAAAAAAAAAAGGCAAGTAATGATAGGACAGCTGAACATTGCAGAGGAGACACTGGAAATGCTGCGGTGAATGAAAGGGAGATCTGAGGAGACTTGTTTCTTTAATCTTAGCTAGATAGAACCTGTGCATAATTATCAATGTGATTCTCGTTGAGTTACGCAAGTTACTCCGACAAAAGGTTATATTAATGCAACATGAGGCAGACCTCAGCCAGGAGAAGGCCTTCACTGCATGTAAGGCTGGACACACGATACGCGATTTTTAACCAGATTCATCTCCAATTAGGTCCTTTATAAAGCACATTACAGTTTGTCCCCATAGGATCCTATGGAAAGCTAGGCTAGTGCAACAGCTTACATGCATAATCAAGTCCTGTATTGTGTTTTTCCAAACATGTATCGACCGACGGCCTGAGCTAGTCTACCTCCACCCCCGTTCTGCGCTTTAGTCAGCAGGAATGAGCAACAACGTCTTTCTCTGCCATCAGCAACCTGACTCAACCCGCGTTTCACGGCGGGATCCAGCGTCTCGAGTACGAACACATTGAGGCCTTGTGAGTCCAAAAAGCAAGGTCAGTCTAGTCCTTCTGATATGTTCTGTTTTTCAACAAAATACCAAAAACCAAACAAAAAAAAAAAAGAGAAGGAGAGCCGGAGATAGAAAGAGAGAGAGAGAGAGAGAGAGAGAGAGAGCAAACTACAGCGGCTTCAAGTATTTCACATTACATAGAATACTCTGTATAAATTAGTTAACATATACTTTCAGATCCTCCATATTCAGACATATACTATGGCATATATACAGAGTACAATAAATGCTCGCTCATGTTGTGTCACGTTTTTGTCTTTTTTCCTGTAGTCAGTCGATCATTTGTTCCGCCTTTTTTCCTGTGTAGAGAAATCCCTGAGAACGTTCTGGTTGACAATTACTGAAGGTTCCACACATCGAACTTTAACAGTAGAGAGTCTAATTTCTATGATTCACATGCACAGAGGGAAAGGACACTGGCCTGGTCTGAAAAACACCATAGGAGGGTGGCTGTCGGAGGTGAGAGGGGACTGACACACTGACACATTTTCAACTTCTGTTGGAGCCAATTCTTTCTTTTTTTTTGAGGGGGGGGGGTGTTAGTAAGTACCGATGCCGGGGCGGCGCCTACCCCGTGAAACAATGGGCTTCAAACACTCCGCTTACCTTCGAACCACCGGCTTCTACGCAGCCTATATCAACTGCAGCGAACCTAGATCACTAGGGGGAAACAACAGATGCGTGCTCTGATCTCCACGTCGTTTATGACTCTTCTCCCTCGAGAAGACTTCGCCGACAACCCGCCGGTTACCTTAGTGGAGCGTCACGCGCCGCACTACATGTCATCATTGGAACAATAATACTCGAGAGTCTTTTGCGTAACGTGGCGTCGCCCGAGTACTGCCCTCGTTTTTTTGGAGGCGGGGAGGATTTGCAACTAGAACCACGACGCAGGTCAGCTGAGAGTCGTCGTGTGATGGAGCCGGTGGCCCCGGGACCCAGGGGAAAAACTAATGGCTGCTCAAGTGCTGCTGCTGCTACGCCTAAAAGGAATGCGGATGGCGGCTTTCTGTCAGTGCTAACCCAAGCTGTGCCGAGCCGAGCCGAGCTAAGCTGTGCAGTGCTAGCCCATCGCCCAGCGGTGAGGGCGTGGTCAGAGGGAGGTGCTCCGTGTGGTTTAAAGCCTTAGTTTCTCTTTGAGGATGCCGGGACGTAGTTTTTGTTTCTTCTTCTTCTGCTTCTTCTTCTTCTTCTTTTTTGTGTTTTTTCATGATCGCTGTTGTAAAAGGGCTTCAGCCACTCCACAACATACAACTCGATATACACTGGAAAAAGGGGGGAGGGGAGGGAACATATGCTTTAAATCATAGAAATAAAAGAACAAAAAACTAAAAACTAAAAAAAAGGGTTTCATTTTCCTCTCGCACACATGTAGAGAAATACACACAACATTCACAACGTGACAAATTTCCTCTCTTCTGAAAAATAAAAACACTTCTGTACACATAGTAGTAATAATATTATTAATAATAATAATAGTAATAATGTTTATAACAATAACAACAGCAAGAACAATAATACCGCTTGTGGCTCTGTTGATTTTTTTGTCATCTTTTCCTTTCTCATTTTGCTTCATTCTACAAGTCACATCCCTCGTTTTACTTATTTTATACGTCCAAAAGAAGTTCAAAAGGCAGACTCAAGTTAATAGAAAAGTACTCGGGTGGAGAAGGTGAGCTTTTGGCCGACCCCGTCCCTCCTCCCCCCGTCTCGCCCTCAGCCGAAGCGCTCCCTCACCAGCATCATGAGTTTCTTTTTGCCCTTGTAGATCTGTTTCAGGTTGTCTATGAACTGGGTGAACTGGATGTGTCCGTCGTGAGCCATCATGAACGTCTCCCGGGCCTTGCCCAGGAACTCTATGAACTCGCTGTAGTGGCGCGGGCTGATGTGCGTGAGCCGCGAGTGTGTGGTGTTGATGTACGCCCCGATGGTTGCGTCCAGCAGCTGCCTGAGCGGCGCCTTGTCCAGGGACATTAGCTTCCCGGAGTTCCTGCGGCTGTGCAGCGCCGACACCATGCCCGGCGTGGTCAGCGTGCACCGCCGCAAAATGTCCGAGAGCACGGTGGCGCACTTCACGCTCTTGACCACCAGGGGGATGACGGCGGCTAGCTCGTTCTTCCCCAGCGAGTGGCTGAGCGCGCAGGCCCACAGCACGTCGTTGATGGCCGGGTGCGTGTCCTGGTTGTAGCTGAGGTTCAGGTGAGCCATGGCGAGCGTCGCCAGCTTGTACGCCCGCATCGGGTAGCCGCGGTGCTCCATGTAGCGCGCGATGGTGAACAGCTGCGTGTAGCTCATCCCCGTCGCCGCCGCGTCCAGTACAATCTGGTAGGCTGTCTCGAAGGCAATGTGGTCCTTTTCACAGAGTGTCAGAGCCGACAGGGCGCAGTTCTGGGGGTCCTTCATGGCACACTGCAGGGCGAGGGTGCGGGCGGACGAGGCCAGGTTCTCCTGCTGGTGGCAGTCCAGGTGGAGGCGGACGATGGTGCTGTTGGACATGACGGTGGTGGCCACGATGCTGGTGGCTTCCGTGGGGGTGAAGAGGGTGAACCAGCTCTGCATGATGCTGTCCAGCGCGTACACACCTGGCGGACACAGACGGGGCGGGGGGGGACACAGCGAGGCGAGCGGACAGGTTAGACGGAGCACCTCCGCGGGGCGGCGGACGGAGACGTTCAGGAGGCCCGGGCACACTTACCCACTTCGGTGGCACACGTGACTAACCAGCGCACCATCTCTCTCCTCCTCCAGTTTAAGGTGGACAGGGTTATTCTCATCACCTGAGGGAGAGGGAGAAGAAAGGAGGCCCGACAGGTGAGTTGGAGAGGAGATGGGTGCGACGGCGCGGATTGTATTCCACTTCCCACAATCATTAAACAGGGAGTCACTTTTGGCATCAAAGACACTCGAACCTTCTGCCTGTTTCCCGTCACATTTGTATCTCTTCACTGGCCGAGGGAGACCGCCGCTGTGGCGATGACAGACCCTCGAGCTGACCGTCGAAGTAAATGCTTATATTACGCATGTGACGCGGCAAGTTACGCATTCGGAGATCGGCTTGGTTTCCTACAGCCTTTTAAAGGCCTGTGTGTAATGTCCAAACCACAAAAATCCACCTTTACAAAGCGCAGGATCAGAATAAAGGATGGGGGGCACATAAAATGACTGGACCTCCAACATTCCCCCGTTAAACAGGAACAAACGCACCCTGTGGTGCAGATGCAGTTGCCAACATTCCAAGACGATAATGCCGACCACGACCTTTGTAAATCTCGTGAACACCAGAATAAAGTCCTTCCGGTCCTTTCATAGCTGTTCATAAGAGTAGCACACACAGAAAATCACACACAAATACTTTACTGGGTTCTGGTCATCATTTGTCTGCAGACTCAAACGATCATTTGGCCTTAATTTACACACTACGCATAAAACATTCACAACCTGACAGCCTCCTAACAAGTCACCATTAAATATACAGCTGCAGCCGTCAAATAACGCGGGCGCGTTGGCGTACCTGCAGTCCCAGCTCCAGTGAGACTTTGAGAAGCGTGATGTCAGGCAGGCTGTCCATCAGGGTGGCGATCTTGAACGCATCTTGTGCCAGTTTGAAGATGTGAGACGAGGAGTGAATGTTTTTCTGGATGGACTCCAGGACCGTCTCCAGCTTGCGGCTGTCCCCTAGAAGGGATTTCGAACAGAAGGTTAAACGCGTCGGGCGGCTGCCGACCCCGTCGGAGGGCCCTCGCTGAAGGCGGCTTCGGGTTAGCGGGATGGGCGTTTCGTGCAATACGCGGATTGTCTGCGCACCTTTGGCAGCAGTGAGCATGGTGGAGGCCAGCTCGCACTGCTGGGACTCGATGTGGCTCAGGGTGAACCAGCGCGGGTAGCGGTTGGGCACCACCGACACGATGTGGTGGGGTCGCGACAGGTCACCGGACGAGGCCGTCGACTCCAATACCGGCAACCTGGCGGAGAGAGACAGACACGGGAGGGGGGGGGTGATTAGACGGGCCTGTTTCTTTTTAAACGAGCCTTTGACAGAGCATGAAACAGAATGACGTTGGCGTGAGAAAGACAGAGTGGCGGAGGGAGAGAGTGAGCGATAATCAAAGAGACGCCAGAGGTCCGCGAATCATCACAATCCGGTGAAATCAGAAGTAGTGCACAGACGGAGGAAGTCTTCATTATGATGGTCTGAAAGTGACTTCAAAATGAAAATGGCTTTAGTGATCACAGGGGGGGGGGGTTCAGTTTGCCTATTCCTGCAATTTACTTCCAGCCTAGTATCTAATCACCAAGAAACCACGGTATAATTAGTATTTTCTTCACTCTAATTGGTCCTAATGAAGTCAGAGCCGTGGAACACCTGCTAGTGGATGAAGGGGCTCCACTAGTTTCTCTCATTATAGTAACAGTGACTGGGCCCCGAGTCTTCACCGGCACTGTGGCCGGCTCATCTCCTATTCTGCTTCACTTGCCTTCCCTCCGCTCCCACCTCGCTTTCAAAAGGTCTGCTCTCCTTCAGAAGACGGCACAACCTGGCCTTCTCTCAGCCAATCGCAGAGCTAATTGAGTCCACGGGGAAATTAAGGAATTCACCTTCCAGCCCCGTAAGGCTGGACACACATCAAACAAATACCGACACACAGGAATGAAGAGTGCCAGCGCACGCACACACACACACACACACCTGCCCTTTTTGAAAACACATCAAAGCAGCCGGGTAAAAGCAATGTGATGCTAAATGCCAGTTTCAATTTCGGGAACATAGTGCATGTGATATTGTTGCCACCCGAGTGCAGGCATGCGCAAAACAAACAAAAAAAACCGCCTCTTTTTCACTCCCTCTTGCCCGAGAGGGCACGAGCGGGGGGCTCGTCGCTTGAAAAAGAGCGAGGGAGGGTGTGCGACGACAAGAGACCCGGTGGAGATGCGCGCGAGCGGGAGCGCCGGGCACTCGGAGGACGGAGGTGTTTGGAAGCCGTGGCAACGGCCGGGTTCATTCCACACACATCTAACGAGCTGCTAAAAGCTTCCATCACACTGGGGCCTTCTGGAAGATTCCTGGTGTGTCGCAAAGCAAAAAAGAAGAAGAAGAAGAAGAAGAAGAAAAAAAAGTTCCCTGGGTAAAGAAGGAGGCCTCATCAACATTCCTGCCTTTGTTTGGTTTTCACCAGAGAGCCAGAGGCCTCCGTTGGATAGGAGCTTGAGAGGCTGAGAAATAACCTCCTCTAGATGTTGGGGAGGAAAATCCATACTGGGCCATTGTTCCATGAGAAACAAGCAGAAGACATATACATACACGATGAACAACCCGCTCCAAGCATTCAATCTAAGCACAAGTAGAGCGGGCGCGTTCCCATCCGGGAGGCTTGTAAACTACTGTGAAAATGGTGAACACTGGTTATAAACTCCATCATCTTCTCCCGGCAATAACGCTATAGAAACACATCTCAACGACAAGTCTGCTCGAAACATGGAATTAAACTCGTATGTCTTCGCAGCACTGTCATCCCTGGGTTTTATCAATGCTCTATAAAACATTAACGCAGGGCTGGAAGAGGCGATCGATCCCTTTACGAGGCATTAAGGGGGGTGGGGTTAGCTCTGGTGTCAAACGGGTCCTGTGGTACCGCGGCACCCCGCCACATCTGAAAGCGGCAATACTCGTCGTAGCAGAAATGTTAAGAGGTGACGATGTGGCGGGAGTTTGCAGGGGTGGGGGGCGTTGAGATAAAGCAGGCGGGCCAGATTTGAACTAAACCCGAGGCCCTCAAAGGAGTTCTGGGGAGCGTCACGCCGCGTGGTGACCTCTCTGCTTCGCGATCCCCCCCCCCTCCCTCCGACTGTAAACATGCTTCATTTCTACAATCCATCAAGCCCACTTCTATCAGCCAAGTGTCACATCCGCTGGAACACCTCCACCCTCCACACGGAGCCAGAGTTCAAAACTCTTTACAAACCGCAGACAGCGGGGACGAAGTCCAGCGCGTTCCCAGGACCAAACTTCTTACCCCCTCCCTCAAAGGACGTCTGCTCCTGGTGAATCCTGTTACCTCCACACAGCGATTCCGAAAGTCCTCATCCCGGTTCTCTGTAATGTATTTTTACCTGAGCATCCTGATATTGCTCTGACATAACCAGTTATTATTAACGGCAGTAGTACAAGTAGTAATACAACTATCATCCTCATTACAATTATTATCGCCTGTGTGTGTGTGTTTTGTGCTGAGTACACTCAAGTTCAGTACTTCATTCTGAGGTACTCCAGTTGTTTGAGTACTTCTACTTTTTGCTCTTGCCTGCATTAGAAACAAACTATTTCAGAGGGAAACTATCGTAGATATTGATGCTTTTCAGAATTAGGTTCTAAGTACTGCGCTGAACTTTTCTCTAAAAAAAAAAGAAGCATCTTGATGAAAAGTGAAAAATTTTAAGACGTATTCTGTTGTAATTGCAGCCGTTTTCAGACTCGATAGGGCTTCACCGGTTGGCCTAACGTAAAGAGAAAGCCCTTTGAGCTTCCCGTGAGCGTCACTAGCTTGTCTGTACAGTAGTTTAGATCCATAATACAGTGACAATACACAGCGCAGTACCTTATGGATTAGAGCGGATCAAAGGTTGTGTGATACACAGAGGATCTAGATTCATTAGCATTGGAAGACTCGTGTCTCATGTGGAAATCTCATTTCCTGAAAACAGGCTTCTGAAGAGTTGCAATAAGGAGAATCTCTAGAGAGGCAGCGAGTTTCTTCTTCTTCTTCTTCTTCTTCCACTGTGACTACAGTCAGATTCTGGGCAGCTCGTGAGCCAGTCGGCAGCTCCTCTGCAGTTTGTGTTGGCCGCTCACACCAAGACCATCTCACAGCATATGCTGCTCTCACACACACACACACACACACTTTAATTAACCACACACACACACACACACACACTTTATAATACTGGATAAGCATCTGTGTATGGAGGCGGCCGGGCTTCCTCGCATTAAAAAAGTTTTTTAAAAATCTGGTTTGACAGCAGCCGCGAAGGAGAAGACAAACAGAGAAAGGAAGAAGAAAAGTGTGTGTGTGTGTGTGTGTGTGTGTGTGTGTGTGTGTGTGTGTGTGTAAGCGAGAGAGACTTTCTCCCCCTCCTTGTATCCATGATAGTGTTATAATGGGTCCATTAAAATAGCCCTGGTTCCTTTACCTCCTCCTCTATATTTAACCGTCCGCCGTCCCGTGGGAGCGAGGAGGTATACGCTATCATATTACACTACGCTACATTACACACATTCATTACGTGCTGAGTAGTCACCCCTGGCTCCCAGCAGCACCCATAAGTGGCCGTATTATTCTAAATCGCCGGTTTCACGCCGCAAAAGTGAGGATGGAGGAGGCGAGGGGAGGAAACAGGGTAAAGAGAAGTAGCGAGGATGGGAGCGGAGAGGCTGACCTCGGGGGAAACTGGTTTGGGATTCGGGTTTAAAGGTGTGAATGATGCGTTCGTTGGGGGGGGCGTGCCAGAGAAAATCACCGCACTTGTCATTCATTCGCTAATCATTTGCCAGTTCCTCCGCGATGGACTCTGAGAAGCTTTGCACAAACACAACAAACATCTTTCCCACACTGCCCTCTCCCTGTTGGCCTCGTGCGTGTGTGCTTCCTTCTCATTACAGCCACACTAATTACACTCTCATTAATGTAATTAATATTCACTGATCCAGCTCCCGCTAGTCACAACATCAAAACACAGAGGCGCAGACTGATTAACACACATACACATGTACACATTGTCCACAGATGAATACACGCAGGGCCTTAATATAGAGAGATCACATGGAAAACGCACAGTCAGACCCACAAATTGGGAAGACCCTCCGACTAAACACACATAAACAAACAAAAAGATCTGGACTTTTGCCATCCTCCAATAATAACCGGGAATCAGCTGAGATGACGACTTTAAAGTTGAGCGACTTCAGCGATTTCTCTTATTCATTTTAGTAAAAATATACATTATAATATTACGATTCAGAGTTGTGATCCTCAAGTTTCAGTTGGTTAAAAGTCAGATGATCATTTTTATAGTAGTTCTTTTTTAAAGCTCCATTAGCCCAAATTTGGGCAGATTTGCTTAATCTGAAGATCAGTGCTTTCAAGCAAAAATCTATAAAATGGGACTCACTTTCGTCATAATCACACACACACACACACACACACACATACACACTTCGGACCTACCGCATGGCTCTCAGTGCAATTTTGTACGCCAGTTCAGCGTCGTGAGGTAGGAGAGAGGTGAAGAGATAGCGGGCGAAGGTGTGCATGGGAACACTCTCTCTGTGGACGATCTCTCCAAGGCCAGAGTACGGACCAGCTGCTCCGAGGCAAACACACACACACACACACACACACACACACACACACACACACACACACACACACAACACACACGTGGAAAAAAAGAAGGTGGGGGGGATTAATGAAGGAACCACACGCTGGAAGAAATTCACTCTCTTTAGGTCAGTTAACGTCATGGTAGGGTACTGAGGTGGGGGGTGTGTACAGTATAACAGACGACCACAACAGAAGCTTTATTTCATTTTCATTTTGTGGTTTATTTTGTGTATCGAGTTGTGATTCTTCCCCGGCACACTGAGGCGTCGCTTTAGACAAAAATGTGACGTCAAACAAAACATGTGGTCCTGTGTGTGTAGACTGCGTCTCCCCCGCCCACCCCCGCCTCCCTCCCCCTTGCTTCCTGCACTTCCCCATGTCTCTGGTGGGTTATTTTAAACCCCACCAGGCTCCCGAGCCACAGACCACATCACACAGTGGCGCGGCTGCAGCCCTCCAGGGGCCCGCAGAGGCCTCAGAGCCCGGCGCTCTATTAGCGACGGAGCCAGAGGTGGGTGGTCGCGCCGGGGGGGGGACAGAGGCAGGGCTAGGGTTTTGGGTGGGGACTGGAGTTTGACTGGGCCGAAGCCCCTTTAAGCCATACCGCCTCTCTCTCTCTCCCTCCCTCCTCCCTTCCCCATAACCAAACCTCATTCTGCTCCAGCCCGAGTCCCGCAAACGTGCGTGCACATGCAGCCATGTGCACACACGTGTGTGCTGACACGATGTCCCCGGTGTTACTGTGTAAAGAGCTCATTTTGGTCTGGCCCCCGGGAAGCTCAGCCTCTATTTGCACTACAAAATGAAAGGATAATAAATAGCGAGACAGAGTCCATTCTTTTAGCGAGAATGTGTAGGGTGTGGGTGGGACAGAAAAGAAAGACGGAGGCGGGTTGTCTACGTGGGTCTGTTTGTGTGCAGACTGCTCCCAGATGCGAATGGTATAAAAACAGACAGAGACATCGTGCGTTCGCCCGCTCACCCTCCAGCAGAAAGACGGCCTGTTTACGGAAGATTTTGACCAGAGAGTCGTCCAGCTCCACTTCCTGCAGCTTGGCCAATAGCTGCTCTTCGTTGCGACACACCTTCTCTTGGGCATACAGCCCGTCGGGCATCACCCGCTGCTGGCCCAAGCCAATCAGAGCCGTCTCCACTGCCAGCGCGATGTACGATTCGCCGTCCCCCAGCAGTCGCTGCACGGGCATCCGCTGCAGCTCCGCTCGGCTCACGACGCTGGAGCAGTCTGCGGAGGAGAGGGAGGGGAAGTCAGATAGCCGAAAAAAAAGGGTCGGCACCAAGTGGTAGTCGGCCCCAGTGTTACTCTCTGAGGCTTTGGATCCTAGATGGGTCCGTCCCCGTATGGAAAACCACTGTGACAGTCACAAAGCAGAGGTCTGAACCCAGAGACCATCCCCAAAAAACAAGACCAAGGCCTCAGGAGCATTCCTCCGTTCAACTCGCTACCTCAGAGGAGACGGCTATTTCTGTAAGCAGGGGAGGAGACGGGGGACATGGTGATCGCAGAGCGTAGGAGAGGAGAATTGAAAAGAAAGGTGAGAGGAAGCGCAATAGGAGGAGACAAAGAGACTGAAGGTGAATCTGCACTTAAACTATGCTTAGAATTTGCATTCTAATGCAAGTAGACAAATATGAAAGACCTGAGAAATGCGTCTCATTGTGCAGCTGGACTGGATGACTCAACTGTGATTAAGTTTAATCCTTGAATTTAGCCATTGCATATTAAAGATCAATCCCAGTGAAGAATACAAAGCAGTTGGAAAAATGTTAGTCTTATAAATATATATAAATTAATGTAATGTGTATTTCATGTACTTTGTCTTTACTGATTATTGTGTATCACAGAAAGGCCCCAGCCTCCGGGTTGTGTGTGTGTGTGTGTTTAGCACGTAACAAGTATGTGGTAATAAGGAAGCACAGACAAAACATAAAGCGGGATATTTTCAGGCACTGCGTTGTTTCAAACCCATATTCCTGCATGTGGTGACAAGAAAACAAAGCCATATTCCAGTACGTGTGGAAATGTGTTAAATGGCGTCGGTGCCGTTACAGGAAGTCATCAGCACCTGAGAGGTCTAAGCAGGTGTTGGAGCCCTCCTCTCCCCCTCGTCCTGACTCTGTCAGGGTGCTGAACAGGGTACCGATGGGATCCAGTGGGTGCCCCACCCAGCCCTCCATGTTGGTTATGGACGTATGGCCTTTATGGAGCAGCTCTGAGACAATACATGGCAGAAAAGGACAGTTAACAAACATCAAATCTTCTACTTGAAACGCATATTACTCACCAGGACAGCGGATGAAGGAAAGAGGTTATTCCATTGACGACACAACAACAATGTATCTTTGCTCCTGGCAGTTAATAATTATCTTTCAAAAGTTGATGACACGTGCAAGCTTTGCCACTGGCAGATTTGTATTTATTTATTTAATACGGGACAGTGCACATTAATAAAAGAAACATTACTGTAAAAGCCAAAAGGCTATTTTTCATCTGTAGTCCCAAGAGGCAGATGCTATGAAATAAACCTAAAAGACGGAGATATAATTAAAAAGATTATTACAATATTGACGCTTTCTTTTGCACAGAAAGAATGAGGTTTCTCTTCTATCCCGTCTGTGCTTTTATCTAATTTTTTACCTTTGCGTCATCGGGTATCGATGTGGGACAGATGAATGATTATGGGGCTTGTTTGTACAATAAAAGCCCCACAGTCCTGAATTTAAAAACAACAAAGAAACAAGCTTCACCTTTCTTGTGTCGGCGGAAGTGCTCCAGTTGCCTCTGCTGTTGCCGCCGTAACGTGTTCACCACGGCGATGGCCAATCGGAGGGCTTCTCGCGGGTACCCGTGCGAGCGCAGCGCGTCCACCCTGGCACAGGCCGTTGGGACGTGTTCTGAGGGGGGGGGGTGGACGACAAAGTTCACTTCGATATTCTCCCACTGGCTTCCATACATTCTCTGCCCGACGTATATGAATAACTCACATACACCTACGCGTCGCATGGACTCACCGTGCCACAAGGGCCAGCCGCGCGTGTCAAAGAGGGAGCCCTCCTGGTTGTCGTGGTAACAGTAGTTGGCGTAGAGGTCGCTGGCAATGATGTGCTGGAGGTGTCGGTCCTGCCAGTGCAGGTCACAGGCCTCGATGGCCCGTGTGAACACAGTCCTGTGGGGGCGCATCTCTGCAGCGAAGGAGAAGCAGAAGAAGAAGAAGTGAGGAGGAGGTGTGAGAGGATTCAATTAGATCACATCACACAAAAAAAACACACACGCGTGGCCGTTAAGGCGCTTTTTTTACTCTGAAATGTCCGAGCGTTTGAACATCTATTGATTAGCATGGGGATTTGCATAATTACTATAAACAAACATGACCATCAACGACGAGATTGGCAGCCTGTACCGGCTTCCACACCGCCGCTGATCCGCTACGAAATGAGAGAGGCTGTTTTCTGCTCAACTGCCCAAATGCTTCAGCATTTAACAGGCTGCATGGAAGAAAAGAATAAAAATAAACCTCAAACTGGTGGAGCAGGTTTAGTGAAGCAAAAGAAAAAGCAATACGTGCATCCCAGGCGTGATGTTTGGGATGAACACTTGATGTTCCACTTCTGATGTTTACAAATCCTACACACGCAGCGGGGCACCTATTCCCCCCCCCGAGATACATTACTGAGTAAATATGTTGTTGACGGACGTACAAAACGTGTCAATCTCTGACCTTGGTTGCCATGGGCACCCTGAGGCAGTGAGTGGGTGAGGTTGGGCAGCTCGTTGCCGTGGTTACCGTCCTCCCAGGGACAGACGTCCACGCTGTTCCATCTGCGCAGCTGGCGCAGCCACGATGACTTCTGCTCCGCCTTGCAGTGGGGGTTCAGTACGATGCACATCCACAGGGCACCTGGACACACACACACACACACACACACACTTCAGTCAGCTGCACCCAGTGTGCGACGGAGACGTCGACAATAAGTAATACAACGCAGGCAGGTGCGTCTTTTTCGCCTTAAAGAATCCCAAACACAGTCGTCATGAGGCGCTGGAGGCAGTTCCTCAGAGAGGTGCGGCGCTCGTAACATTGTTTCTTTTTCTTTCAGTGCACATGTTGTGTGCCTCCGCCATCTTGCACCGAAACGCAAGAGTCTGTGAAAACGGAGAACTTAACTAGTCCCGAGGCGGCACCGACAGCACACGCGTCATTTTGGAGTAAATTGGAACAAACAGAATATGAAAAGTGGCTGTGTCTCTAGGGACGCAGGCGCATTCAGGGATTTTACTCTCAAGACTGCTGGAGATACGTACACTCTACAGTGTGTGTGTGTGTGTGTGTGTGTGTTGGCCGTATGCAAGTGTGCAATGGCAGAGAGAAGGACGAAGACAAGGACAGAGACAGCGCTTGAAGAGAGAAAAATAATTCAAAAGAACAAAAGGTAGAGTAGGAAACGAGAGCGGAGATGATTTGGACGAGGAGACATGGGCGAGGACAAGTGAGCGAGGCCCGGCTTTGTGTCTGGTGGAGAGCAGGAGCTGCCGCTCGAAGAGGAGAAAGACAAAAGAGGGGGAAGAGGGAGAGAGCGGCGCCGAGAGGCAGCATTCACCACACATCAGGGGGAGTGATAAGGACTTGGGAAGAAGGGTTTTGAAGTGTGGACTTCAAAGAGACTGTACACACACACACACACACACACACACACACACACACACACACGCACACACACACTTCCAAAAATACGTGGGATTGAAACAGATGAGATCACTGCGTTGTCCTCACAAAGTGCAGAACGAGACCAAAAGGAGGAAAAAGGGAACATCATCATCAACAGCCACAGCAACTTAACCAAAATTTGTTGCGGGGGGGGGGGGGGGGGGGGGGACAACAGAGAAGGGCGAAGAACTGCCATCGCGGTGACGGGCTGGTTTTGTTTTTTCCTGCCGCGCGGAAGTGAGGTGCTGTATAGGTGCAGCACATCCGTCAGAAGAAGGCGCGGCGAGCAGCACTCTGTCACATCAACTAGATATGTAATGTGAAGTGTTTCGAAACATTACCGAGGTCGTAGTGCTCAGAGCTTTGATGAGGCGCGATGCGCCGCATTAAACGGCTCGTAATCCACAAAGACACTCGCGCCGAGCTGCCGGAGCCGCGTTGCCAGCGAGAGGGAGCGACTGGGCTGTGTGTGCGCGTGTGTGTGTGTGTGTGTGTGTGAGAGCGAGGCGGTGTCTATGTGGGCCAAAAAGGACAAATAAGCAAACAAGGTGGAGAAAAATGTGAGAGTGTGCTCCTTTGTCTCCGCGTCTGAGCTCCATCGCCCGCCTTGCTAAATCTGTCCGTGCCTGTGCAAACCGGGGGACGCGCATACTGCTTTGTCTTTGTTTTTTTTCCTCACCTAGCTCGTCCCAGAGCTGTCTGTACTTGTCCGTCATGGTGGTGCCCTGCTGTCTCCACAGCGCCAGCCGAGGGTCGGCCATGAACTGTTCTGTGATCAGTGTTAACATCCTCGCTCCGTTGGAGTCACGCATCTTCAGCATCTCCCTCACCTGCAGGAGGAGATGGGAGGAGACAAGGAGGACCGTTATGTACACAGACACACACACACACACAAGCAGTTTGCACAAGCAAAGAGCTACAATCAAACCAAACAGCGAAAAAGAGCTCACACAACGTACGGAACCACATCGGACGACACACAAAATAGGTGAGGGATGCACAAGCAAACATGTCTTGCTTTCGAACGCCCCGGTTAGCATGTGTACCTTTTTAGATATTCATAGTTATTTATTAACAATTCCACAGTATATTTGTTATAGTACAGTACACCGTGTTTACAGTATTTGTTCTTGTGTGAGTCATCTGTCGATCTGAGTGGTGAGCTGTTGTCTCAACACGGATGAACAAAGTTGAATTCCTGCTCTTGTGCATACACAACTCAGACAACGTCATTTTGGTTTCTGATTGTCTGTTGTTACTCGTATGTTGAGGTTTGACTGTTAGAGGTACTAGCAAGCGTCGTTGTACTTTGGGTCCAAAGATTTCTAGTCTTTGTAATTCTTTTGAAACACAAACCCCAAAATGATTTAGTGTTGTATTGTTGATATTTAAAAGAAATCCAATAAAAGTGGGCGTTTTCAACCAGCTTTAGTTTTTTCTTGACTTTCTAAACTCTCCTCAGCGCAACAGGGACTTGTTTATTGTAAACTACGGCGGTCAGCATCTTCCAGCAGCAGGAAAAAAGACAAACTCTGTAATCCAGTAAAACATTGTCTGAACTGCCCTGCGTGTCTTTTAGGTCTGGAGTGCCTTTCGGTTAAAAAAAGCCGTGAATAAAAAGGATTGTTTTTTTTTAAGTTATTTATTTCGTGTCTCTACGCTAAGACGAACGGCAGCGTTTATTTCACACGGCGGAAAAAAGACACGGCAGCACATATACGGTCGGTGTGTGCGTCGCATTCGATGGCTGCTGAGCGCCCGTGCCACTGTGTGCGTGCGCGGACGAGGCCGCACACGTGTGTCCTGGTCAGCGGGTGTGTGAGCTGAAAAGGGGAGTCGGAGGGCCGAGAGACATCCTAAGAGCCGGGGCGGGGTCGGATGATAATAGCCTCGGCTCGCAGTCTTTACATAGCGCAAAACATTAACGCCGGCCTCGCTGCAGTACGTCTCTCACATGAGCGTTTAATAGTAGCAAAAAGGAGCCAGCTTTTCCCTCTTTCGCTCTCTTCATGCTACACTCCCTTTCTGCCATTAGCGCTTGCTAATAGCAGGCCGGAGCCTTTTAATGCATGTGCCGATATATGCGAGTTGTTTTGTCTGGGGCCACTTTTCGCCAGGGAATAGAACAGGGGCGCACGCAGAGAGCACTCGTTCATCAGCAGGATGCGGAGCGGAGGATCATTAGCGAGGCCTGAAGGTTGGGAGGGAGCTGAGCGGTGTGTCCTGCGGCGGTCTTCTTCTTCTTCGGAGGGGTCATTATGCAACGCATGTGTTCTATGTTATGTTCTGTATGCGGTGGAACGAATGCTGGCGGCTCCCCACCTTGCTGAAGAGCAGGTTGAGCTGCTTGCCCGAGCCGTGGTACCCTCCCTGCGACAGGAACAGCTTGACTTGCTCCTGGACTTGCTCCTCGTCGAGATGCCAGCAGTTCTCGTCGTCCACGCTGGCTCCTGCTGTGGGGTCGGGGGCCCCTACAGACACACGAACAGATGTGTTTATTACAGCACTGTATTCTTGGTATAGAAGGATGTATTCATATTATTATTATAGACTCGATTGCAGCTCCTCAAAAGTGAGGAATTGCTGATTTCACAGCTTTAAGACGACAAGCAAGTAACTTAAATACAGAACATTTGGAATTCACTATTGTTCAACTTAAATGATTGTATAGTAAAGTAGAGAATCACTTGAAAGCATTTGCTTGGTAAACTGTAATCTAACAGCCAGCATGTGCAATATCATGCAATACAATATAGTGTATACAAATCCCATTTGTGTTCTTCAGTACATGATTCTAAACTGTGGCGATGCAACTTAAGAAACCAACAGCAAAGCCTCCGGTTCAACTCACTACGACTCAAAACTAAATGGGCAGTTATAGTAATTTAACATCAACATAATTAATGCGACAGTTATTTTGCACTGCATTCAATCTTTGTGAAACTAAATAAGCAATCCACCAATTGTCATTGAATATGATGATGTTCAAAACCATTTGGTAAAACATAAGGAACAACTACTAATATTTAGTTTCGGAGGATGAAAACGTTAACATCAATGAAGTAAAGGAATGCAATTTGGAAAAGGAATAAAAGTAAATTGAATAAGCGTAACCGCCTGAAGACGATGAAATAGGAATAATTATTTAAGAATCTTTTATATATACGAATGATTCGTTTTAGTTTTACAGGATTAGCGATGAACAGTCTACAAATCCAAAAGTCTTGGTCACAGCAGTTGCGCTGATGAAGTTCTCTCTCGTTCTCTGGGATGATCCTTTATTTCTGTCCTCCATTCCCAGAAGTTTCTTTCTCAGCTCTCTTTCCCCAGTCCATCTGGCTTCTTCTCATCCTCTTCAAACTAACTTTCCCAAAACTTTCTCCATGCATGTCTCTATTTTGGATTGCCTTTCCTTCTTCTCCACATCTGAGATACAAACCAGTTTGACATTCACACTGTTTTTCATGCTTTCCTCTCCTGCTTTTCCTGCCTTCTTTCTCCCTGTGTTGTTTTGCCCTTCAGTCTCTCCCTCTTTCATTAAAATAAGCGGTATCGATAACATAAGATATGAACCGCTCCTCGTCTCACTGCTAACCTCTTCGTCTCCGTTTCTGTAGCGTTGCCTCGCTCTCGGAGGTGAATAATGGGTCTATATATGCTGATTAGCAGCACACAGTCTCTCCTTTACTGTCTGGATCTCACTAGTCAGTAAGATTGATCCCGCCACACTTTACCTTCATCGGCCAGTCAATACTCGCCTGCATAGGAGGACACCCACACACCTACATGATCACGAGCCTGCCCATGACCTTTCTCCACACACACACACACACACACACACACACACACACACACACACACACACACACACACACACACACACACACACACACACACACACACACACACACACACACACACACACACACACACACTCACACACACACACACACAGGTTGTCTCACCGTGGACCTGGTTGATCTCGGAGTTCTGCGACAGGATCTCGTCGGCCAGTTTCTGCGCGGTAGGCAACACTTCGGTGTGGTGGACTGAAATCAGGTACTGTACAAACTTCTGCAGCTGGTCTCTGCTCATCTGGAACAGGGTTTCCGAGATGGGCAGGTGCAGTTTGACCTGCTCGGGCTTCCGTACTCTGTAAAGCGACAGCGCCACTACATGGGCGCAGTAGAAGATGTCTTTGTTGCCGCAGGTGCACGTTACCGCCGTGATCTTGCAGCGGTCGAAGCTGACGCTGACGCTGCAAACCAGCTCCGGGGTCGAGGGCGTGGCGGGGTCCGTCACTGTGCCGCTGAGATGGAAGCCTGACGAAAAGGGAGAGAGAGAAAAAAACTTATTTTCCAAGAAATAACTTTTTGAGGAAGTGTACAATAGTCGCAACCTCATCTCCTACAATCAAATTAAGTTAACTAAGTTTGAGGACAGAAATGACAAATTTTCACTTGTTTGAGTCTCTTAAATGTTGTTTATCTAATGATACGTAATTGAATCTCCTCATTAATCCTGAATGAAAATAACAGTTGGTTACTCATTTAGTGATGAAAAATCCCAAGAGGCATCAAATTTCAAGGCAGGCAACTTTGGTTGGTTGTTACGAGAACAGCACTCCGACCGGTCCTCGTTACGTAAGACAGCGATATGATCGAGGAATCCATCGTCCCCAAAAGGACAAATTGAATGACTTGCTCAACTCAATTGAATGTGCCCTTTAGCAAACGACATCAGGAGAGAAATCTCTTGAAGAATGAACGCACGTTCCCCGATCATGAGAGCATGATCGGGGGCGGCTGCAGGCCGCTGAGAGTCGACGATCCCGACTGATGTCGAGATGCAAAAACCCAGATCGGGGAAACCCACCGCGAGAGGAACGGAGAAAGAGACGAGGAACCGAGTGCGGCTGTTACAGTATGAATTATACAGCCTCTTGTTTGAATGTAACGTTTGATCTAATCCCGGCCGTGCTATCCGGAGGCGCGGCTAGTCATTATGCGAGGATGAATATAAACGAGCTGGGCGGGGTCCCCGGCAGTGGCCCTAAAAACACACAGGCAGGAGCATATGAAAGAGGCCCACATGTACGCGCACACACTGCGCCGCTGCGTGAGATCATGCATTTATTAATAATGGGAGTGGTTAGGGGAGACAGGGAGCAGCTTATGAATGCATTAATGTGAGCAGGAGAGATCAGTGGAATGCATGTGGACCAGGCAGAGACATACATCTCTTAAATACGTTTATCAAAGGGCTGAGCACGCGCGCCGCTACGGTATCAAGCACGTACTAACGCATATATCAAAGCGTCTTCTGGGCCTCTGAATTAGGTAAGCAGGGGAGGGGGAGGAGTTGAATATTTATTGGATGGAGATGGAGATGGGGTGAGGGGTACAGAAAGCGAGATGCATAGAGGTCAGGTCAAACCTCTGATGCTTAAGGAGGGAACTAATAATGCAGGTGAAGAGGAATACAGCAAGCAGATTATAGGGCCTTTATATTCCTCCTCTGCAAGACACATTTTTTACAAACCGATGATGCCTTGGACAATTTTACGAATTCCAAAAAACTCCATTAGCAAGAATGCTGTAATCCTGTCGCGCTTGCAAAGAGCATCACAACAGAAAAGGCAATGTTTCGCTATTGCATCGAGAACTAGGACGTGTTGGCTGCAAATGTCCAACGGTGCAGAACTGCAGAACATCGCCATGGAGATATGCCTTTTCCATTCTGAAAGCCAGCTGGCAGAGGACGTACATGTTCGTTAACAATATACACAGACGAGGGGTGTGGATCCAATATGGCAGCCCCTCGCATCAAAGCCTATGTGTGAGAGACAGACAGACGTACCGAGTCACTCTTAAAATAATGTTACAGCTTCTTGTAGGATGGAGGACTGACTTATTAGGCTTTATAATAACTTACAAATGGCCAGTGTGTGTGTGTGCGACACAAGCTTATGTTTCAAGAGTGGCCTCTGGTCCAGAGAGGGGAGAAAAAAAGGGAACATCAAAAACATATGGGGCTGAGAGAGCTCAAAGAGAAATCAACCTCTGATACAAACACACACACACTCACACAAACACACATCAGACGTTGCAAAAAGTAGCACCAGTTTCTTTTGCAACAGTTTTTTTTTTGCGTCACCCGATTAAAAATGTAAAATGAACAGCAGTATTCTATTTAAAAAAAATAATAAATAGCGACACATGGAGAATGAAAAACAACACAGTGATAAAAGACAAATCCTCATTGGAAAACTCTCGGCTGTGTTCCCCTTCGCTTTAATGGAAACTCTCACTCCCTCCACTTCCAAGCCCCTTTTCATGCGTCCCTCCCTCCCTCCCTCCATCCGCATTCCCACAGCTCTTTCTCTCTCGCTCTCTGACAGATGGGTAGGTAATGAGTTTCGCCTTTCCCCGTCCAATAGTCTGGGCACCAAAAACTGCCCCCCTAAGCCAAAAATGCCCTTTTAATTTAGCCAAGCATTGAGTACAGGGCTATTACTGTTTAGGTACACACACACACACACACACACACACACACCTCCCATGACTCCTGGTTGGGTGGGTATGAAACCTTCAATGTCTCATGTGCTAGCTATTAAAGAGCCTGGTCCCCCCCAGCTCCCCTCCCCAAGTGGTGCTCAGGGCTCTTTTCTGTGCATGTTCAAGAGGCCAGGGTTGGCTTTCAAAGTAACCATGGCGGCCATTTTTAGAACAAGGCCTCTGTGAGGTTGCCCTAGAAACCCCATGTGACCGCCTCGGTGAAATCACACTTGGCCCGAGGAGCCGTGTAAGGCAGCGAGAACAGTGTGTGAAAATAGCGAGAATTAGCGTATGTATATATATATAAACAAACAAACATATTTATGCAGACCACCCACACTTTTTGGGGGATCCACATCAAAGTATTCCCCCCCGCCCAAATAGCACTTTGTTCAATCTTTCTATCCGGTTTTGAACTCGCATAAGTGCCGATAAGCCTCCCTGCGTACTCTTGACCAGCTAGGACCACTTCTCTCCATTCAACAACGAGGGGCCCCAGAAATACCGGACTCCTGTTCTTGTTTCGGGGAGGAAAGGCCCCCGACTATAAGCCCCGCAACTCCTTCAACACGCATCTGCCGTGACGGAAGAACGCCGCCTTTATTCGCTCCCTATAAAACAGGATTTAGGCAGACGGCGGGTATCGGGGGGGGACCGGGGGCCCGAGATGTTTGCCTGCCGAAGCACAAAAGTGCTCAGTGTTCCAAAATCACTGGACGAAATTAGATTGAGCAACATACATATATTTCCGCAATCAAATTAAGATTCCAAGTCAAAGGGGAAAATTCAGGCCCAGCAGTGGGGAGGTCATTACGTTTATTGGCTGAATTGGTTTCGTGAGTGACTGTCACCTAAATCTAATATGGCACCATGCGGTTCGGATAGCGCTCCTCTGCCTCTGTGTGTGTGTGAGAGAGAAAGAGAGACGCCCGATTCGTGATTGAAAGAAGCCGTAAGATGAAACAAATGGGCCGGCGTGAAAGCGAGGCAACAAAAGCAAAGAGGGAGAACCAGAAGGAGAAGATAGATATTTAAGGCCTTTCCTTCCCTGCGCCGATTCACTTAGGCCTCGCACGTTAATCAAATTACCTCCTGAGCTGCAGACAGTCAGAAAGCAACACCTTAATCCGACTCTAGCGCGGCGGGAGCTTCTCCGATCCACAGGGGACCACCTGCAGTACCCGGAGCTTTAACGTGGGATCCGCGTCCGCGTTGACCGCGGATAGCTAAAACCTCGCTGAGAGAAAAGCCGCCGGACTGCAATCCAATCTGTTTTGGCTCGACTGAACCGAGAGGCCCTCCTGAAAGGAGATCCCAACGACGGCCGAAGACGCCGCAGCTGGTTTGGGGAAGGGGTCTGGGATCGCTGTGCGACTCCCACCGCGAAAACACCTTCTCCATCCCCTCTAGAGCAGTGGTTCCCTCCCACTGGCTCCTTGAGCCGGACCAATTAATATGCTAACAAAGATACACGAAAGGGCGTTGAGCATCTTTCAAGGTTAGGTCTGCGTGAGTGTGTGTGTGTGTGTGTGTGGTCCTATAAGGAAGCCCCCATACAGAGACTATAAACAGAGATCAATGCTATTCTGCAGGAGACCTTGCTCCGGGCATGTGTGTGCATGTGTGTGTGTGTGTACTAGGTGTGGGACGGGCTGGAACAACACAGCTGAGCTCCAGGGGCGGCCATATTTGCCCCTTAAACCCTCTGGTAGACCAGAAAGCCTCTTTCTCCCCGGCTGTGTTTTCATCATCCGCACACATGCACAAAGTGAAAAGCTCACTTTTCCCCCGAACGCTCTTCCCCACGGACACAAACGAGCAGGAATTCATGTTTTACGATATTCTATGAATTTCAATGCTTTTACTTTACCGCTTGAGATTCTGACAGCAATAAATGCATGCTAATCACAGGGGAGCGAGGGGGAGAATATCCGTATCTTTAAGTGTGCGTGTGTGTGTGTGTGTGTGTGTGTGTGTGTGTGTGTGTGTGTGTGTGTGCGCACTGACAGCTGTGTGGGTGATTGGAGTTGTCATCAGCTGGCAGTTGAAATGACAGTCGACTACTGGGCTGCTGCCACTTAGTTGTCATGCGGTGCGGCAGGAATGACTTGCAATTTTCAAACTATCACCTTCAGAATGGATTCTAATTTTGCCGGATCGGGCCTGTCGAGCAGCGCGCCGGCTTTACCGCTCTGCTCAGGTCGGCGTTCAGTGGGCTGACCGGCGCGGAGAGACGGCGAAGCCTCAGTTGAGGGACGCGACGGGCACGAGACAAAGAGGATGAAGTGACGAGACAGTGCGTTCTGTTAGCGAGAGGCGACAGACCACAGAAGCTTGTTTGGTTTCTCCGGGAATTAGCCGGGGAAGGATTCTGTCAAAGGATTAGTTTGACATTTATCGGAAGTGCAGGTTCTTGCCAAGAGGTGGATGGGAAGATCGGTAGCTCACGTCTTTAAGGTAAATATAAAGCTGGAGCCAGCGACTGGTTAGCTTAGCTTTGCACAAATACTGCGGACAGGGGGAAACCGCTGGCTTTTCTCCGACGAGACAATCCTACAACCGGTACCGTAAACACATAACTCTCCTTCGATTAAACAAGGCTCCAAACAAAAGTGCGGACAGGAGAAGACTCCCTCGTCCGCCACCCGACCGTTTCTTGGCCAGGAACAGCAACATCCCGCTCTCCTGATTTCAACTAAGCCAGGCTTACGATTTACCCACTATTTATTTTACTATACTGATCCCAATAGAAAGAGACTGCTATT